TACCGGTGTTACTATCAATAGGCAGCTAAAGTTTCGAACAAAACCTCTTTTTGAACCAAGCGTGGGTCTCATTATCATGGATTATTGACTAGGAAGTAGGAGGTAACTGATTTAAAATAATTATATCTCATAGTCATGCTTGATATTCGCGATGATTCTAGTAAGATAAATGCCATTGATGGAAAGGTGAAATATTGGTAATTGATTGTGTAACTGAAACTGAAAGTGTGAAATCTTCACATATTTAGTTAAGATCGCCGAAATATTAACGACTCAGTGACTGAGCGTGGCAATGATGACAACACGTTGGGAGAGTCAGCCACCAGTCGAGTTGTGGACAGTTCCCGTTAAATTAAATAGTGATGCGTGCAGTAAACCAGCAGCAGCTTTATTCAGATTAAACGGGTGGTGTGCAACAAGGAAACACAACTTCTTCTCTTGTGAAATGTATCACGCGAGAGATGGGCGGACAGATGTGAGATGTCACATACAACACCTAACCAGTTGGAAGATGTGCTAAATTCGGATAACTTGAGCACTTTCTGATGTGCATCTGCAATCTGCATATTTTAGACTGTCTTCATAGTTCATGGTGGTTTCAGACTAAAGAAACGGATAGCGTATTGATCATGTGACTCGTGATTGTTGCGACTGAAGTAACTGAACACAAAATTCAATGAAAGATATCGGGGGCACAATCATTGTATATTAGCAATGATAATGATAATAAATGATGTTTAATACCCAACTATTGTGTGAAACGAATACTCAGCACTGCGAAAAGAGCAACACTAAGGGCGCAATAATATATAATATATATGACCAAGAAAACAAAACTGCCAGTTCACAGTTATACCAGTAACCGCCGTAAATCTATATTACTTATAGCACCCAACAAAAACATTTCGCTCTATAGTATGAGCTGAGCTTCTTCGAATCATTTTGCAACAATTTGAATACGTATGTGAAGTATACTTAGTATGTTTTTAAACCAATATAAAATATAATATCCATTGTCTTGAACATTTTAACTAATGATCATTATAAAACTTAGTATATGATCCAAAAACACTAAAAGATCTTTACCCATCATAGGATGCAACATGAGGAACAATGAGTTTTAGAGAGTGTCCATGATGATTTTAAGATGATACCTGTTACAAATAAAGTACAAGCTCAGATAAAACTAAAAGTAAAACGTTTAATCTAGGATTAGAAATGGAAATTATTTATTCGGGAAAGTTTTAAGTAATAAGGAAACGTTTTTTTAAGTGTGGTAAAAATGACTTTAAGTGCCATGATACTTTTGACAGTGAACGTGAAATGACTAGTAACTAGAAAGTGTTGCACAGAAATGCCTTCAATCTTAACTGCCCCTGTAAGGAAAATTCATTAGTTAGTTAATATGTCATGATATAGTAACAAGACTTTGCCAGTTTTCAGCATTTTGGATTATTATTTTTAAAAAGCCCATAAAACACTGAATTTTGCGACTTTTCTGTTTAAAATACAGAATATGTCTCAGAATTATTCAAAGATTATTTGGATTTTGGTAGGAATACTTAAACCTTGCCCAAAATGAGTAAAAAGTCATTGATTTGGTAAAGTTTTGAGTTTAGATGAAGGGGTTGTACAAGGCCCATACTTTTTATCAGCTTGTGAGTGAACTGCAACAACTTTCAAGAAACGTTGGTCTGTACTCTGTAATAATGTAACCTAGGAAAAACCTATTGTGTGCCTGTATTCACTATTCAGTAAAAATTCACCCACAAAATTACGATTGAGTGTGTTTACATTGCAGTAGCTAGACAGCAACAAATTATAACGTTTTTCAATCATACTGCACTGTCGAGATTAAGTCTGCTAAACAGCATTCTGTTCGAAAATCAAATTAAGAGTGTGTCAGTTTCCAGTAAAAAGTCATTTTTAGGTCAAATTCATCACGATTAAAAATTCAAAAGAAATGACTCTTTGCTGAATATTGGCACTATACAATTAATGTCCGACAGCATAAGCAGGTTCATCAATATGATTCTTTACAAAATCTAACGATATTGTGTGTTCTAATTCAGCAAAAATTCATTTTATAAATAATTATTATTAAATATTTTTAGTTTAAAATCTTCATAGAAATGACTTTTTCTGACAACAATATCATGTCAATCAAGGAAATTTGGTACATACTATTGATGTTTGAAGTTCATTGTGCCAGTTTTAAGTTAGTTATAGCAGGTAATCACAACACTGCTTACAAAGCAAAATCTTTAAGTGATTTACCATTGGTATATTATGCCTAGAACAAGAAGTCACTTTAAGCTGGATAAGAGCCTGTTTTAAAGTAGAGGATCGTAATAAATCAGCCCTTTCGATTCATGCCTATGAACATCACAGTGACATTTTTACTATTGACAACAGTCTATAAATTTGCCATTTTGAAAGAATGTAACCCCAGGGGATTAAATAGGGAGGAATTTAGGTATATTGAGAAGTATAGAACTAATTGCTTGGGTTTAAATAGATGCAAAGTTGAAAGATAAGTTTCTTAGTTTTTAATTCTTTTTTGAAGCTTCATTTTTGAAGCTATATTTTTGTGTAGTTCATTTCCATTTACCTTGTGTATTTTATTTAGGTTATTTGATTCTCGATTGTTTGAGGCATTTTAGATCTTCGTATATTTAGTACAAATTAAACTAACCAACTTAATTCCTTTGTAGCTAATGATGTAATTTAACGAAGTATACACTACATTTGCGTGTTTCACTGTCTAGCCCACCAACCATAATATAAGCTGGATAATGGCACACATTGCAACAAAATTGTGCCATACAAACAAAAAAAGGCACACCGCTCCCTCAAACAATATTCTGGACTAAAAAGAGTGCCATTTAGCAGTAAGAATGACTATTTCTGTTAAATATGTCACTTTTTACTGATTTCCGGGACACATATGCTGTTTAAATTCTCAGGATACAACTAAACTAAGATTCATATCTGCAACATAAACAATTCGGTGGTTTGAGATTATTGATAATGCTGATATTGACTTACAATAGTTGGTAATTCCCACGTTGGCTGCAGCAGTCACTACAGCTTATTAGTGGCACTCTAATGATATTATCTGTTTTTGACCCCTTTATGAACACAGTACTTTTCGAAATAGATACTTAAACTCAGACTAACGTCTAACATACCCATAGATTAAGAAATAGACAATTTTTGTCTTTTTACATCATTCATCTATATGACTGATATGCTGAATTTAGGCACTCGGGACATGATTAAGTGAAAGCAGTACAGAGTTTAAGCCTTCTTTTGACTAATTAATGTCATCTTTAATTTAAAAGTCAATGAGGTGACTGAAAAAGAGAACTGAAATTTCGATACTTATTTGATCAAGTAAAAAAAGTATAATTTCAAGCTGATATATGTGTGACTTTTTAAAGACTTTTTAAAGACACAACCAAACATTATCTTGTCCATAAAAAAAACACAGTCATGCCTAGTTATCTTTTTAATATTTTGACAAGAACCATCAATAGAGCAGTCGTATTCATGTATGAAAATGACTTTTTGCTAGATTCTGTATCCTACTGGAATTGCTAATGATGACTAAAATACTGAAAACTGTTACTCACTTCTATCTACCAGTGTAATGTGAACAATTTTTGGGCAAAATGTGACGAAATCAATGAAATTAGTCATTTGGAGATTAAAATGGTTTGCTGATTTTTGGCACTCAGTTTAATTGTTTATAAGTCATATTCTGCTTGAGCCTGGAACTTCGTTCTTTCAAATCACAACTGCTGAATATTTTCACTTCATCCTATGTACAAATCTATGGTTGCACTTTAAAAAGCATTGTGACTTTTTCCTCATTTTGTGCACTCTACTTTTAAAAAGGTAAAATCAGCAAAACACCACCTTTTTTAAAAAAACGTGTCCATAATCAATTAACTATAAAAATAATTGGTGATCTTAATTACTAATTAAAACAATTCATATACTATATGAGTTATCCAGTTTATCTTGAATTTCAAAAAAACATTAATTTACATAATTACTCAAGTGATAAATCATTATTATGTCATAATCCATTCAGTCAACCAATCATACATATATCCTCATTCTTCATCGTTTATCAATAACATATTGTTTTTCATTTAAACAGGGAATGGGATTTGACTTGATGAATCATATCTAATTCAGTTCCATAAATGATTGTAAATAAGAAGGCTGCACAGTGCACACTGCACATGATACTGTAAACAGTAATGGTCGTCAGGGTGGCAGTAAGGTTGCAGTTGAACGTGTCTTCTTTTTTAATACAAGATAATTTCTAAAAAAAATATTTTTCTCCGAAATTCACGTACCGTGTACGTCAATTTTTGGAATTGTAACGTTATTAAATTCACGAGAGATGATGCTTCCAACGTGACGGGGGTGGGTGGGGGGGGGGGGGGCAATGGCATAAAATAGAGAATTACTCAAGGGTTTTTCCATTTTCTACATAGAATGATATATAATTCAATTCCATAAATGATCTTAAATAAGAAGGCTGCATAGGGTACTGTAATGGTCGTTGCACGTACCTTCTTTTTTAAACGAGATAATTTCTGTTTTTCTCAGATAAAAAAAACTTGTCTCCGAAATTCACGTACCGTGTACGTCAATTTTTGGGAGTGTAACGTTATTATATTCACGAGAGATAATGCTTTCAGCGTGACTCTGTAAAAAGCGAACATGCAATCTGAACGCAGTAACGTGATGTTAAATCGTGAGTTGAGAACATAGGAAACTAGAGTCATGTTACCGTATCTTATCAGGTCACAAGGTGAGCTCGTGATATATTTTTGCTTGCTTTTCAAAAATCAAAAGCACATCCCTCTGTATTTGTTTTATGTTATATAACCTTGACTCTTCTGCGACTTTAAAGATCGATGTTCATCGATTATTTTGATATATACGTACCCCAACATTCATAAAATTTGAAGGTTTTGAGTTTCTAAGTCAGCCATGCCTCGATAAAATTTGTTAATTTCATTCTTATTTTAAATTAAGAAAATCAAGGATGCTCGTGATAACAATTAGTCTTGCGTTCCTGATGAGCGCAGTGTCTGCGGACTCCACTGGTCTGGGACAAGGATTTTACCTTCCCGCTCTTTCTCTGGTCGAGGACAACGGTTACGGTTCGTTTTATGACATGATAGATAATTTATTAGATAATTTATTAAATAGTTCTGATTTCTCTCAGCCTTTGTGGACAGATTTTCTGATTTTAGACATCGTCATGTTTTTCTTAAGATTTACTTCTAAACTTCTCGCAGGGAAGAGTGTGTTCGAGGCTGTGCCACCTGAGTGCATTAAACCTGTTCCATCTCTTGTCAACAGGGAAGAAAAAACATTCTTCGAAAACACAAAATCGTTTTACAGGTAAACTTTTAAATCATCATTTAAATAATAAACGGATTTGGTTTCCTGGTGATTAGTAATTACTTTCACTTCCAACGAACAAATTTATTCGTATGTGATATTACCTTCTCTGGTACTTGTTTGTGATAAATGGATTATCTATATATATCCCGCAACGCAAAGTATTGATGACGTTACTGGGCAACGCTCAGCCTGTCATTCCGCCGAACCGCTATTGACTATCCCGCCTAATCTCTATTCTCCATGTTTATGAACACGATAGCCTGGGGTCCCCAGTCCCCAAATATTGATGACGCTGTGTTCGAATTTCAGAATTATAAATCTAATTTTTTCAGTAAGATGGGTGTAGAAAGCTCGCTTTCCGGCGAAGTAACAGACGGGTTCACTCTTGGTGCATCAATTCAATCAGCCAGTAATTCTATAGACAGTGAAACTCTGGATGTTAAAGGAATGAGTCTGGACGTTTATGCTATCACCGGTTTCTGGGACTTCATTCCTGTGAGATGAATTTAACTGAAATTCTAATTGAAATATTATTTAAATTCTAATTGAAATATTATTTAAATTCAACTATTAATATTATTCAACTATTATTATCAATAAATTAGATTAAAAAGATGCTGAACATCATAAATCTTACTAAGTCGTATCGTGTTTCTCTGAAGTCTATACTTATGGTTTATCAAACACATTGAACTTGAACTCTGTTCCCCAATCCTCAGGATTGTTTAACTTCTGTTCCACTGGACGACGAGTTCGTGGCAGCATTCGAGAGTCTCCCTGCAAAGGTAACATTCGTTATAATGTATATTACTATATTATTATTATAATATATGTTATTCAAAAACATTACACCTGCTTAAAATCAATTTTTATTCCAAACTTACTTAATTATTTTGAAATTGTCGCCGCTCATTGGTTTGACTTTTTACAGATAGATGATCCAGATAAGTCAAGCAGCTGGTACATGTACGATGCGTTTTTAAAAACTTACGGCTCTCACGTGACTAAGAGAGTTTCACACGGATCTAAACTGACTCGGTACATTTTCTCAAAGTCAAGTGAGAAGATCTCATCCGCGCAGTTCCTCTGCAAGGTTATTTAATCGAACTTAAATGAATAATTGTAAGACATTATGATATACTACGACTTCATAGTCATCCTTAACTGTAAGATATTAATATAATCATCGTTTTGCAAGGGACGTTTTTTAAATTTCTATTTCACAAGAGTCTATTCAGGTTTGCTCAACTGTGAAAGACCTCAAACTTAAGTACTGCTCCAACTTTACAGCTGAGGATTACGCAAAGGTAAATATCGCACTCACCCAGTTTATCTATTGCTGCGTTAACACAAATTGTATTGCTCTCATTATGGACCAATATTAACCTTGTGTACTTTTATGTGTATTTTAGCTCATAAATTTTGTTCACCAGAGCGGTACTGTACGTACTAAGACACAGAAAATAGTGTCAACAATGCTAGTGTAAAGAATGTTAGTGTAAGGAATGCTAGTGCATGACTTTAATTCGAAAAGTTGAAAGAAGTATTCTCAGCATTCTCAGTTCTTCTTTTGATTGGTCGGCGTCGACAGTAAGCCTCCCTTACGGTGGCTTTCACAACGCGTGTCCATTCTCCAACTCCAGCATTCTCAGTTAAAGAAGTATTCTCAGTTCTCAGAACTTCTGCCCAGCAGACAATAATGCAATAATGCAATTTCCGACGCATTTCTTTACTGCAGCAATCAGTGTGACTGTGCACTCGTACAGTAATTATAGTCGCTGAACTTGGAAATGTCATTGTCTAAACCTTAAAATATGTGAATTTGTAGGTTAGAGTCCTCTAATATGAAGTTAAAGTGAACTTTGAGACCGGATCGCCGGCACTTGACACTTGACCAAAAGTGACCATGGAGAGAAAGTAACTATGTAGTCGCCAGCACCTACGTAGGTATTAGAGGAGCTCATATTGCAATCAGACTGACCTGTTTGTTTTACTGATCAAGTTAGAGTTAATACCAAATATTTGTCTGCAATTCCACTGAATGTCCGGGTTAATTAGAGTAAATAAAATTACAATTTCCTTGATCTAATATAAACATGCCGCTGCAAAACTACACTTAAGCTGAGCGTGGAAGTCGTTAATTATCTCCAATATCGCTGTTTGGAGATCGTTCTTCCAATATTTATGTCTCATCTCATAGTAAAGCAGTAAAAATCATTTTCCTCGACTCACTTTTTAAAAAATAAGAAGAAAAAAAAAGGTAAATAATGTTCATTTCCTGAATGATGTTTAAAAAATTAGCCGTAGGTATGAAAATTCGTGTCAAACTCTCATACCGTGTTCTGTAATTTAGGTAAAAATGAAAATAACCCAGGCAGCACCCAATCTAACAGAGGCAAACCTTATGATATTGTTAACAAAACAGTTAACAAACCAGTTAACAAACCATTCTAACACGTACTAACCCAGGTAGCACAGCTGTTATCAAAGAGTTAACAAACCATTCTAACACATACTAACCCAGGTAGCACAGCTGTTAACAAAACAGTTAACAAACCATTCTAACACATACTAACCCAGGTAACACATCTGTTAACAAAACAGTTAACAAACCATTATAACACATACTAACCAAGGTAGCACAGCTGTTAACAAAACAGTTAACAAACTATTCTAACACATACTAACCAAGGTAGCACATCTGTTAACAAAACAGTTAACAAACCATTCTAACACATACTAACCCAGGTAGCACATCTGTTAACAGAACAGTTAACAAACCATTCTAACACGTACTAACCCAGGTAGCACAGCTGTTAACAAAACAGTTAACAAACCATTCTAACACATACTAACCCAGGTAGCACATCTGTTAACAAAACAGTTAACAAACCATTCTAACACATACTAACCCAGGTAGCACATCTGTTAACAAAACAGTTAACAAACCATTCTAACACATACTAACCCAGGTAGCACATCTGTTAACAGAACAGTTAACAAACCATTCTAACACTTACTAACCCAGGTAGCACAGCTGTTAACAGAACAGTTAACAAACCATTCTAACACGTACTAACCCAGGTAGCACAGCTGTTAACAAAACAGTTAACAAACCATTCTAACACATACTAACCCAGGTAGCACATCTGTTAACAAAACAGTTAACAAACCATTCTAACACATACTAACCCAGGTAGCACATCTGTTAACAAAACAGTTAACAAACCATTCTAACACATACTAACCCAGGTAGCACATCTGTTAACAGAACAGTTAACAAACCATTCTAAGAACATACTAACCCAGGTAGCACATCTGTTAACAAAACAGTTAACAAACTATTCTAACACGTACTAACCCAGGTAGCACAGCTGTTAACAGAACAGTTAACAAACCATTCTAACACATACTAACCCAGGTAGCACATCTGTTAACAAAACAGTTAACAAACCATTCTAACACGTACTAACCCAGGTAGCACAGCTGTTAACAAAACAGTTAACAAACCATTCTAACACATACTAACCCAGGTAGCACATCTGTTAACAGAACAGTTAACAAACCATTCTAACACATACTAACCCAGGTAGCACATCTGTTAACAAAACAGTTAACAAACCATTCTAACACATACTAACCCAGGTAGCACATCTGTTAACAAAACAGTTAACAAACCATTCTAACACGTACTAACCAGGTAGCACATCTGTTAACAGAACAGTTAACAAACCATTCTAACACATACTAACCCAGGTAGCACATCTGTTAACAAAACAGTTAACAAACCATTCTAACACATACTAACCCAGGTAGCACATCTGTTAACAAAACAGTTAACAAACCATTCTAACACATACTAACCCAGGTAGCACAGCTGTTAACAAACCAGTTAACAAACCATTCTAACACATACTAACCCAGGTAGCACAGCTGTTAACAAAACAGTTAACAAACTATTCTAACACATACTAACCAAGGTAGCACATCTGTTAACAAAACAGTTAACAAACCATTCTAACACATACTAACCCAGGTAGCACATCTGTTAACAAAACAGTTAACAAACCATTCTAACACGTACTAACCAGGTAGCACATCTGTTAACAGAACAGTTAACAAACCATTCTAACACATACTAACTCAGGTAGCACAGCTGTTAACAAAACAGTTAACAAACCATTCTAACACTTACTAACCAAGGTAGCACATCTGTTAACAGAACAGTTAACAAACCATTCTAACACATACTAACCCAGGTAGCACAGCTGTTAACAAAACAGTTAACAAACCATTCTAACACATACTAACCCAGGTAGCACAGCTGTTAACAAACCAGTTAACAAACCATTCTAACACATACTAACCCAGGTAGCACAGCTGTTAACAAAACAGTTAACAAACCATTCTAACACATACTAACCCAGGTAGCACAGCTGTTAACAAACCAGTTAACAAACCATTCTAACACATACTAACCCAGGTAGCACAGCTGTTAACAAAACAGTTAACAAACTATTCTAACACATACTAACCAAGGTAGCACATCTGTTAACAAAACAGTTAACAAACCATTCTAACACATACTAACCCAGGTAGCACATCTGTTAACAAAACAGTTAACAAACCATTCTAACACGTACTAACCAGGTAGCACATCTGTTAACAGAACAGTTAACAAACCATTCTAACACATACTAATCCAGGTAGCACATCTGTTAACAAAACAGTTAACAAACCATTCTACTACATACTCATCCAGGTAGCACATCTGTTAACAAAACAGTTAACAAACCACTCTAACACATACTAACCAAGGTAGCAAAGCTGTTAACAAAACAGTTAACAAACCATTCTAACACGTACTAACCAGGTAGCACATCTGTTAACAGAACAGTTAACAAACCATTCTAACACATACTCACCCAGGTAGCACAGCTGTTAACAAACCAGTTAACAAACTATTCTAACACATACTAACCAAGGTAGCACATCTGTTAACAAAACAGTTAACAAACCACTCTAACACATACTAACCAAGGTAGCACATCTGTTAACAAAACAGTTAACAAACCATTCTAACACATACTAACCCAGGTAGCACATCTGTTAACAAAACAGTTAACAAACCACTCTAACACATACTAACCAAGGTAGCACATCTGTTAACAGAACAGTTAACAAACCACTCTAACACATACTAACCCAGGTATCACATCTGTTAACAAAACAGTTAACAAACCACTCTAACACATACTAACCAAGGTAGCAAAGCTGTTAACAAAACAGTTAACAAACCAATCTAACACATACTAACCCAGGTAGCACATCTGTTAACAAAACAGTTAACAAACCATTCTAACACGTACTAACCAGGTAGCACATCTGTTAACAGAACAGTTAACAAACCATTCTAACACATACTAATCCAGGTAGCACATCTGTTAACAAAACAGTTAACAAACCATTCTACTACATACTCATCCAGGTAGCACATCTGTTAACAAAACAGTTAACAAACCACTCTAACACATACTAACCAAGGTAGCAAAGCTGTTAACAAAACAGTTAACAAACCATTCTAACACGTACTAACCAGGTAGCACATCTGTTAACAGAACAGTTAACAAACCATTCTAACACGTACTAACCAGGTAGCACATCTGTTAACAAAACAGTTAACAAACTATTCTAACACATACTAACCAAGGTAGCAAAGCTGTTAACAAAACAGTTAACAAACCATTCTAACACGTACTAACCAGGTAGCACATCTGTTAACAGAACAGTTAACAAACCATTCTAACACGTACTAACCAGGTAGCACATCTGTTAACAGAACAGTTAACAAACCATTCTAACACGTACTAACCAGGTAGCACATCTGTTAACAGAACAGTTAACAAACCATTCTAACACGTACTAACCAGGTAGCACATCTGTTAACAGAACAGTTAACAAACCATTCTAACACGTACTAACCAGGTAGCACATCTGTTAACAGAACAGTTAACAAACCATTCTAACACATACTCACCCAGGTAGCACATCTGTTAACAGAACAGTTAACAAACCATTCTAACACATACTCACCTAGGTAGCAAAGCTGTTAACAAAACAGTTAACAAACCATTCTAACACATACTCACCCAGGTAGCACAGCTGTTAACAAACCAGTTAACAAACCATTCTAACACATACTAACCCAGGTAGCACATCTGTTAACAAAACGGTTAACAAACCATTCTAACACATACTAACCCAGGTAGCACAGCTGTTAACAGACCAGTTAACAAACCATTCTAACACATACTAACCCAGGTAGCACATCTGTTAACAAAACAGTTAACAAACCATTCTAACACATACTCACCAAGGTAGCACATCTGTTAACAGAACAGTTAACAAACCATTCTAACACATACTAACCAAGGTAGCACAGCTGTTAACAGAACAGTTAACAAACCATTCTAACACATACTAACCCAGGTAGCACATCTGTTAACAGAACAGTTAACAAACCATTCTAAGAACATACTCACCCAGGTAGCACATCTGTTAACAAAACAGTTAACAAACCATTCTAACACATACTAACCCAGGTAGCACAGCTGTTAACAAAACAGTTAACAAACCATTCTAACACGTACTAACCCAGGTAGCACAGCTGTTAACAGAACAGTTAACAAACCATTCTAACACATACTAACCCAGGTAGCACATCTGTTAACAAAACAGTTAACAAACCATTCTAACACATACTCACCAAGGTAGCACATCTGTTAACAGAACAGTTAACAAACCATTCTAACACATACTAACCAAGGTAGCACAGCTGTTAACAGAACAGTTAACAAACCATTCTAACACATACTAACCCAGGTAGCACATCTGTTAACAGAACAGTTAACAAACCATTCTAAGAACATACTCACCCAGGTAGCACATCTGTTAACAAAACAGTTAACAAACCATTCTAACACATACTAACCCAGGTAGCACAGCTGTTAACAAAACAGTTAACAAACCATTCTAACACATACTAACCCAGGTAGCACAGCTGTTAACAGAACAGTTAACAAACCATTCTAACACTTACTAACCCAGGTAGCACATCTGTCATCAAAACAGTTAACAAACCATTCTAACACATACTAACCCAGGTAGCACATCTGTTAACAGAACAGTTAACAAACCATTCTAACACATACTAACCCAGGTAGCACAGCTGTTAACAAAACAGTTAACAAACCATTCTAACACATACTCACCCAGGTAGCACATCTGTTAACAGAACAGTTAACAAACCATTCTAACACTTACTAACCAAGGTAGCACATCTGTTAACAGAACAGTTAACAAACTATTCTAACACATACTAACCCAGGTAGCACAGCTGTTAACAAACCAGTTAACAAACCATTCTAACACATACTAACCCAGGTAGCACATCTGTTAACAGAACAGTTAACAAACTATTCTAACACATACTAACCCAGGTAGCACAGCTGTTAACAGAACAGTTAACAAACCATTCTAACACTTACTAACCCAGGTAGCACATCTGTCATCAAAACAGTTAACAAACCATTCTAACACATACTCACCCAGGTAGCACATCTGTTAACAAAACAGTTAACAAACCATTCTAACACTTACTAACCCAGGTAGCACATCTGTCATCAAAACAGTTAACAAACCATTCTAACACATACTCACCCAGGTAGCACATCTGTTAACAAAACAGTTAACAAACCATTCTAACACATACTAACCCAGGTAGCACATCTGGCTACGAGCGAAGAACTGACGGTTAAAGGAGGATCTGCCGAGACCAGAGCTAAACTCATGACAAATGTCACTCAGGAGCTACTGGAGGTAGTAATTTAACTTTCAATTTCGAGTTTAACTCTGTTTATTGAAATTTATAAGCTGACCGGGTTTAAACGTGTGTCAGACTGTATTATATAGCTTATAAATACGAACAATGTAAAGCTGACTATGTAATGCTGACTATGCTAACAACGTCTAAATTAAACTAGTTCCTGTAACAGTCGTTTCCTCTCAGACGTTTCTAATGGAGGCCAATCTTACTGATCAACCTGTGTCAATACAGTACGAGAGTCTGTGGGATCTCCTCCGATCCAGATATCTAGGTTCCAGCCATTTCGTAAAGTCCATTAATCTGGAGGCCTATTATCTCGGTATGCTTAACACTGGCTGTGGTTTCAAGGTGAGATTTGGCGATTACACCATTGTATTTAATTGTTATAGTTGTTTTAAAAATATTAATATTTAAAAATATTAATTAACAAAGTAAGCGTATAATGAAACTTCGACGTACCTAGTTTCAACAGATAGTTGCTGGACTTCGGCGAATTGCTATTTGGTAAAGTAAATTGACTCGAATTATGCAGACTAATATAATATGCCCGTTTATATGCTTTTTGACAGATGATTTGTTTCAGAGGGATGGTGGAGTTGATCTTAGAAAGTTTGTGTTGGTGGAGGACGATCCTAATGTACCGGGGTATGAGTGCCAGCTAGCTCCAATGGTACGTACCAGGGTGTACCATTAAGTTACAGGGTGTACCATTAAGTTACAGGTTGTACCATTGAGATACAGTGTATAGTGACAGTGTACAAATGCACAATCAAGATACTGGGTGTAGTGTACAGATGTTTCATCTAACCTACATGCCTGTCCTCTTAAATATATACTGTATTGCTAATATGCTTGATTATTGGGCTTGTGTTTGGGGTTATACCTCCCATTTGATTCTTTGAGTTATGATCATCTCCAGGGTTGTCGTGGAGATAACGACTGTCACATTGGTGGAGCAGGTTCCACTTGCTATTGCTATGGTAACAGTTGCGTTGACAGCAAGTCCCTTTCTGATCCTCGCCACAGAGTTCAGGCAAGACACACATGATTTGCACCCCATTGTCATTATATATATATGCTTATATGGTATCGGGTGTGATATTCAGATTTATCTATGCCAAAATTAAAGTTGCGTAGAAATTGCATTAAATTGTGATTGTATCTAACCAGTATAGATCTATCATTACATTGATGTAACCCACAATAGGAAGGACGGGACATTAAGAGGGAATATGACGGGTCAAGTTCTTGGGACGGAGTGAACTGGTCCTGTCACTACCATATCGGGATATACTGTGTCTGTGACAAGGTGAGAGGACTTTACCCCCGAGGGAAATTATTAAAACCTGATTTTATTGCAGAACCACGTACGGTCGTTGTTCATTTTCCAGTTCGTTTAAGATGTTCATCAGATTAACAAGGTTAGGTTTATGTGACCCCTCTTTCGAGTCGTTAGTAGCACTATTAGTATTTCTCCGAATATTACAGAAATTTTAACTATTTCATAACAAGTCCTTTACCACGTCTAGTTATATTTCCTTATTTCTATAATTAAAATAAGTAAACCACGAAATTTCTCACCATAACCACTGTTGTAGTCGTGGGGTGGCGACTGGAAAACAGTCTGGCCAAGCGGCCGCCATGGTTACAGGAGAAATCTGGAATCGTACCGAGAGGCACAGAGGAAACTTAGTAAGTTTTATGGGAGACACTAACTACTACAGGAGACACTAATGACTGGAATATCGCATACCTCTTCTACATTATCTTCTTCCTGCATTCCGATAAAATTGCTGGAGAGGGAGCTCGAGAGAGAGAGAAAAAACAACGCATCAAAGAGGGGATGATTTTATTTATTTGCGTACAGATCTCTAAACCTAATTTACTGCCTCAAGACCAGTTCGTTCGTGTTTGTTTGTCTATTCTCTGAGTATTCCGTTACCTACGTCCGATATCCCCTGATCAGTGGAAATATGTTTGATTGCTAGAATATCGGGTCTGTTCTGACGTCAGCCTTTCTTATTACGTTGCACCTGGTGATTTCTATTGTGAACCCACCTATAACCAATAAAGTATTATTCATTCTAACTAGTTTAGCTTAAGATGGGGGGGTACCAATGGCATAAATGGCATAATGGAGAATTGGCCAACAAAAATTTCCATTTATGCCATAAAACGTATGCCATTTATGCCATTTTTGATATAATACATTTCTATTTTCTTTATTTGTCATATGAATCTTTAACGATCATTCCAAGCGTTATAAAGCATGAAACATGTCTCTTATTCAAGTACTAATAATAATTTGCCAATTTAAAGTCAAATATGAAGACCTAAATTCATGGCATAAATGGAGAATTGGCCAATAAAAATTTCCATTTATGCCATAAAACGTATGCCATTTATGCCATTTTATGCCATTGGTACCCCCCCCCCCCTCCCCCCTTAAGATATAATATTTGCATATTTGCAAACGCTGTTCAAACTATCATCAACTATTTGAGTTTATCTTTTGTTTTAGAAAGTGCCTTTTATTTGTATTTAGAACATTATTTTTCAAAATATAAACGGTTTTTAGTTATGGTCAGTATTGCATGCTGGGATCGTGACTGTTGAAAGAGTCACTATTAATTAAATGGGAAATTGGTAGATCACCGACCGGCTATAAGCCGGTTATAAGCCGGCTATAAGCCGGCTTATAGCCGGCTACAATTTTTATAGCCGGCTATAAGCCGGCTTATAGGCGGTTAGTAGCCGCTTACATTTGTTGTTGAGCGACGGCTATTAGCCGGTTATAAGCCGGCTATTAGCCGTTTAGGTATCAAAAGTGGTTATAAGATATTAACTCAACTACATCGTACTGAGCGATAGTCAGGAGCCGGCTATGAGAAATTCAGGGAAACCGGCTATTAGCCGGTTATAACTGGCTAATAGCCGTTTTCACTGAATTTCTTATAGCCGGCTCCTGACTATCGTTCAGTACGATGTAGTTGAGTTAATATCTTATAACCGGCTTATAACCACTTTTAATACTCCCACGGCTAATAGCAGGCTTATAACCGGCTAATAGCCGTCGCTCAACAACAAATGTAAGCGGCTACTAACCGGCTATAAGCCGGCTTATAGCCGGCTATAAAAATTGTAGCCGGCTATAAGCCGGCTTATAGCCGGCTATAAACCGGCTTATAGCCGGCTATAAACCGGCTTATAGCCGGTCGGTGATCTACCAACTGGGAAATTAAATATGTTGATTTCCCATCATTCCCTTCTAATTAACACAGTCAAACTTCGTTATACTTCGTTGTAGATTTCGTATCTAATATCTATGAGTACAATTAGCTGATTCTGAGGTTCGCAAAAGTCTTGAAACCTGGACCTCTCGCCGGGATCAACTTTGTCTTCGAAGACAAGTGAGGAAAATTTCCAAACCAGTTCTGTTAGAAACATTGTCCACAAACTTCGCTCAGGATGTTTCAGCACGATGTTTGAAATTTTGAGAATTGTGTCCAATTTTTGATATCTGGTTTTAGGTCGTAAAATAATTGTCATCAAAGAAAATTAGTGCAAAATATAGCTCCTTCATGAATTAATCTACAGATGTTTGAAACCACGTATAGTCTAAGTAATAAGCACCATGAGTTCAGAGTTAGCACAGAATTTATTTTCTCCAATTTTGATGAATTTGGTACCAAAAGTTGATAAAAAGTGCATGTGAATAAAATATAACATCATGCAACAATTATTGCTAAAAAGGCTTCACGGCGCTTGGTCGCCGAAATGCTTGATCACATCTTCAAGCAAAGCTCGTCAATGAAGAATTTAAGACTCAAGAATGCTGTTATAGCAACTGACAAAAATTTGTCTGTCTCTATATAAGGCACAACAAGTCTCAGAGGTTTCGTAGTTCCATTTTGTCCGTGCAGTAATTTTATAGCGCTTGAATGACAAAACGATTTTTCAATCAGTTTCCAACATCTATTGTATACGTGGTATGAACAGTCATATCACATTCTTCTAAATGTGCCTACCTTAGGAATAGGTACGTGGAAAGTGTACTTTGCATTATCGGGAGCCACGCTTTTTTTGGATGAAACAAGCTCCATTTTCTATCCATATAAACCTATTAACATTCTGCAGGTATTTTTAAAATAAGATTGCACGTCAGGAATGGGGATTTTTTTTTCATGAATGATCGTCTCTTTCAAGTTTTACCTTATCCTGGAAGTTTAATTCGATACAGATACAGAAATTTTTATTTCCTATCTATATCCGATACAGATAGGTAATCACATACGGATAGGAAATTTGTATTCGAGATCTTGTTTGCTCGGTGATAAACGAATCAAACTCGCTTTGATATTGTAGGAATAAGTGTCAGTAGGAAATACTAATATGGGGGGGGGGGGGGGGGGGCGAATATTACAGAAATTCTAACTATTTTCTTCTTCCTACATTCCGATAAAAATGCTGGTACATCCACAGAGAAGAGAGAGAGAGAGAGAGAGAGAGAGAGAGAAAACAGCGCATCTAATTGGGGATGATTTAATTTATTTGCGTACAGATCTCTAAATCTAATTTACTGTCCCAGGACTACCTTAGTACAGAATATTTGTACGTCTCGAGTTTTGTACGGATATTTTTTATACGGCATTAATTTTATACGATTGCATCAATCTCCCAAAGAACAGAAAAAAATCCGTTTAGTGACTAGAAAATAGAAATATAGAAATTAATCAATCAGTGTAAGACGAGAAAACGGATCCACTAAGCCATTAGTGTCCATTATGTTCTGCGCGTCTCTTAATGATTTTACTGCTTTCCAAATTCCTGCAGCTTTCCACCCTTGCAGAATGTTTTGTTTGCCTTCTGGTCCCTGAAAGTAAGCAAACGCTTTCGTGATAGTCTTTGCGTGCAAACTTCGTAGAATAGGCTTTCCTGTGTTAACTTTAATGTCATCTATTCGCGGAGAAATCTGAAGACATCTAGTAATCTCAGCACTGATATATTCTGCACTCTTATCTTGCTCGATTCGTTTCAATGTACGGTTTACCGTCAGATCAAGAGGAGAAAGCAAATGGGTGAGGTTCTTAGGTACATCACTAGCAACTATATTCAATGATGGCAATAGGTTCTGTAATTTAGATGCAGTATGACCACGGAAATCATCCCATATTAAGAGTGCCTTTTGATTTTCTGGGAGTCCTAGTTTCTTGATAACTTGATCAACATACGGCTTGAGAATGGAAAATTTATACGACACAAAATTTATAACCCATAAATTTTATACGACATAAATTTTATACGAAAAATCGAAATTCGTATAAATATTGTGAAGTATAAATATTGTGTACTAAGGTAGTTCGTTCGTGTTTGTTTATCTTACCCTTAAGTTCCATGGGCAAATAATACAGTGAAAATTTGCCCAAATTTTATTTGCGAAATAAAATTATACGGGTACTCAAATGTGCCTACCGTAGGTACGTGGAAAGTGTACTTTGTATAATCGGGAGCCACTACACGCTTTTTTTGGGATGAAACAAGCTCCATTTTCTACCCATATAAACTTATTAACATTCTGCAGGTATTTTTAAAATAAGATTGCACGTCAGGATTGGGGATTTTTTTCATGAATGATCGTCTCTTCGAGGTTTTACCTTATCCTGGAATTTTGATTCGATACGGATAGGTCATCACATACGGATAGGAAATCACATACGGATAGGAAATTTCTATTCGAGATCTTGTTTGCTCGCTGATAAACGAATCAAACTCGCTTTGATGGAATTTAAGGAATGAGTCAGTAGAACATTAGCGGACGTGTCACCCGCTAACGATTCGATTGTAAAGTATCTATGCCCCACAGTCCCACACTCCACAGTTCTCTGTTGAATGTTTTCAAGATCCTCAGAGCAATTTGGTGACAGCACTTGTGGATTGACCATTTGACTATTTCTGCCTGGTAAAAAGACTGGATTGATGTAACGAAGTTTGTCTGTTGAACAAATTTATGCGAAGACTTAGTTGGAAGGAATGATAGTTAACTAATTTTCTGCTACCACAGCTTCATCAGAGCTCAAAATTCAAATTATTTGTTATGCATTGATTTGTTGAACTTGAACAGACAAGCTGCTAAGAAAAAAAATTTAATTCCTTAAATGTTGTTCAAGAGTCATGTATTATGGAATTTATCAGTTGACATGATAATATGATTACGATAAATATGACATTACAAAAAGTAACGTATAGATCCAAGCATGGGATATGATCTACCCCAGGAAAGGATCCCCGCTGGAATTCCTGATAGGCTCAATCTATTACAAAATATCGTAACATGATTAAGATCTCCTTTCCATAAAAGATCCTCCAGGAATTGTTTGTGTGACCTTTTTACTTGCATTCCTTACTGTGGGGTGATAATGGATTTAGATACCCTCCATACCAATTAGATAGTCTGCTGTATTTCACTTCCTTTCATCTCCCAGCTCCCTTCGTTGCTCCTCTTTGTTGTAAATTAACCTCTTCTGATTTGTGACGTGTTTATAGTGAGCGTTGTAAGCAGATTTCGCTTGTTTGTTTCACACATTTTTTCTATTTATTTGGGTTTGTCAACATTCGTATATATACGAATGTTGACAAACCCAAATAAATAGAATATATAATAAATAGAATATATAATAATCACATACCTAATTTGCAACAAAGAAATGTTTTATGACCGTCGCGTCGACAAACTTTCTTAACTTGTGTTTGGTTTTGTTGAAATATTTCGGATTAACGACGTATAATTTAGGTTGAAGGAAGTTAGAAAAAGTACCTCCAATGTTACGACACGCGGCGTTGTGTCTGTACCTGTTGGTTCAATGTACAACAGCAATTGAATGGGACGACCTGGTGGATCGTGTACAGGACCATCATGACACAATTGGTGAGCATTCTGTGAGCCACATTAATCACAATTCGCGTATGAGCACAATGTAAAAAACATTCATTAAAACGAAACAAAGAGTGCGGTAATGATGGAGCATGTATAATATGAGTTTATTGTAGACAGACCGGGAAGATAAACAAATGTTTGCTATTTATAGTCGAACTTTTCAAATACTCAAACGACCAAATTTATTTCAGAGTTCCCTGCTGAAGGAAGAGACGATTGGTTTTGGGACGATCACTTTTGGAGTTATCCCCACATGATGAGAATGGAGTGTCCCGATGGTTACGGATGGGAGGGAAACTATATGGATGGACATTGTGAGCCCTGCCATCCGGGACATTACTCCGCTTCATGGGGTCCCACCGTCAGATGTGTTAGTTGTCCTCTTGGAAGCTACCAACCAAGCTCTCAAAGTCACCAGTGCATCAGTTGTCCTGAGTGGAGCCCCCTTTCCGCGGCGGGGTCTAAGAGTATTCAGGACTGTAACAAATGGCCAAGGAGCTTGGAGGGTACTCAGACAGCCATAGTTGAAGCGAAAATAGAAGTAATGGGAGACTGGACCTTCCTGAACGATATGCTTGAACAGCTCTCTGGATACGACGCCCACGATATGTCTGCTCACGTTATGTATGTATTCATCAATCATCATCTTATAATTTTATATCACATGTACAAATTTGCAATTTTGTATCGTCCTGCCAAACGGTAAGAGGCTACTCACACCCAAGTCTGAAACAATTGCGCGTTCAATTTAGAAAAAGTCGCGACACTTCTTATGATCAGTCGCGTCAAATATTATCAAATTTGAAATTGCTTGCTTGAATACCTATCCCCACTGAGTAGCTGATACATGAACTCTGATTATTTGTTAGTCCACTATTTAAACCTTCACCTTCAGGTATGATGCTGAGCGGAAGTGTAGTATGGGCACTGTAACTCTGGTCATGGCTGAGCGTGCCGCGTTCGAAGCTCACATGTACGTCCAAGACTTGAAAACAATGATCCAACTCGTTAACGACTGGATTGGTACCGGACACTCCTACGTCAACAGAATCTTCAGGTATGAATAATTCATTTGTGAGGACTATTATAGGATATGGATGGATAGTAACTACTAAACTTCATTATATTTTCTGATAAGATTCGAGAATTATTTGTTATGTGTAGCGGTAATCATTTGTTATATTATGGTAGTGTTAAAAGTATTGAAGCTACTTTCGCAAGTCTGAGCGTAAAACAACTAATGTTATATGTACTGAACGAAAAGTTATTAATACTAAAAGAGAGTCAAGATTCAAGAACAGTTTATGATTAACTTTTTTTTCGTGGATAAATTTGAATTATCAAAACTTATTAATTTCAGTATGCTGAACCTTGCTGACTCACTGTATCTCATCGGATTAAATATGGACCCGTCTAAGATCCACAGTCAGCTGAAAGATCTTCGAGTTGAATCAATCGATTCCATGTTTCACAGAAGTTGCAATCATAATCAGATTCACTGTACGGCTGCGGATGAAAGAATTGGTGTAGATGATGCTTATCTTAGGACATTGTCCATCTTCCTTTGTATTGATGATCCAGGTTGGTACTGTTTTTTCTACTTGTTATCACTTCACTAAATATAAATTGTCTGTTCCTAATTCCCGAGATTTTGCCGGTTTATTAGGGAGGCAACATTTTCTTCCTTTTATAAATATTAGCGTGTTACAGCGAACAACTTAAAATTGCCCATTTAATTGATGATTTAGTGTTCAACACTATCCGAATGTTTTAAACATACAACAAAACAAACAACACAAACAACAAGTTTAAAATGGAATGGCCACGTTAACTTATTACCAAGATCTGAAGTTCACTTCCAACAGATGCAGGTAAATATTCGCAGTCTTATCTTTCATACTACGCACCTGCAAGTGAAGCATGTATGACCCTGGGAGGGAAAGCTCGCCTTGCTCGTCATATCAGCCATAACTGGGAAGTTACAGGCTGTGGAGAGCCACAGTAAGTCTTCATTTACAAATCTAAATTCCAGGAGACAATTTATGCGATGTCTTCAGCCCTTGATATTGCGCATAATTTTGTATTCAATTGTTATTGTCGATCCCTCATAAGTCATCTTAGATGCAAACCGATTATTGCGGTTGAATTTTGCCAAATCACGCCATTCTAATTATTTTGCATTAATACTGATAACATTAAGATGTACATTCTAGATATTAATGCCCATTTTCTTAGGGGTGATTCTTGCCACATGTCTCTTATGAGGTGCGATGTCGTCGACGGAGGTATTTATACAATAAATAAATTCATATATATTTTGTATATTATTATACAAATTTCAGCTATTCAAATACTCTGATACAAATTTAATGCCAGTCTCCTAAGACATAGATTTTTGCGAAAAGCTGTTTCGACACGACAATGATCATATTATGTCAAAAAAGTCTATTGTAAAATAATTTGTTGGTCATGTAAACAATCAATACTGTTTCAGGAGCGTGGGTAGTAATTTATGTTGCAAAGACATACGAAGATCTCGACTACAAAGCTTTCGATGATGCTAAGTTAACAGACGATAAGGACAATGAATTTGAAAGGATTGCTAGTTTCAATGCTGATGATTGTATGGGGGGGCCACAATCAAAAGAGATCACAGATGGTCGTGATTGTGATGGATGTGATACTGACAAAAAACATCTCTCTTGGAGAACTGGAAGATGCGAACCATGCCCATTTGGCTCCTATCTTGATGTAGAAGAAGATGAAAAAAATTGTCATTCTTGTGACGGTATGTTCCAAAAAGATGACAGGAAATTTAACAATTTTTTGTCAGGGACATACACTTATGGATCTGAGTATAAAGAAAACTGCTTTATCTATAATCTAGATCATGATGTCTTATTCGATTACATGAGAAATTACCAGAGAAATTACCGCATCGATAGAAGGCCTTACCATATCCCTCGGGACAACCGACACCATCACCAGGTCGAAATTGAAGCAAAGTTAGATGTGTGCCACGCTGTCCAACAGAAAAAAGAATTTAGTCTATTTTGCGCGGGGAAATACGACCTGAGAGAACTTTCCTTCGACGATTTCACGGACTTTGACTTGACTAAGTTATCCTGCCTGGCCATGGACCGCCTCGGGGACCTTTATGAAGCAAACTGCAAAGATCGTGATTATTCGTGGCCACCAGCAGAAAACTTTTATTGGTTGGACGCTGCCTGCACAGCTGTGAAACACATCATGAAAACGGAGGAAATTCTTCAACAAGGTGACATACAACAATGCCATGATGTAAACGAAGAAGCTCGCATTTTGACAATGCCCTTCTCTCTCCAGAAAGGTCTTACCAATGACATTGATTGGGGAAGTGTATTGATTCCTCTTTTTGAACATATAGAAAGCATGACTCATGTAGACTTCTCGACTGTCACAACGGCCGTGAGAGGTATGATGAAACAGTTCGGTGTCTACGAAACTTCTCATGTAACAGGATTAGAAATGGCAGACTATCTCAGAGACCTGATCATCGAGGTACCGGAGAATCTAAAAGTGAGCAATGCTAGATCGGAGCTGTTAAACAAGATGTCAGATGTGTTCTGTGACAATAATAAAGTCAAGATGGATTGTAGCAGTGCTTGTGCTATACCATACAACCAATGCTTGATGGAAGAGGGGGATAATTATGAGTTGACATGTCATGCTGACGAGTGCAACAACTGTGAAGTATCGTACCATTACACGGACGAAGGAGAGGACCAGGTGTACGAATGCATGTACAGTGAGGAAGAACACTGTAATACACAGTTCTGGAATATGAGGGAGGGTTACTTTATTACTTTGATCTCCGCTGATCCTAAAGTACACGGAAGCAAGATCTACCATGCCGAATGCGATACGGGTTTAAGATTGATAATAGAAGATGCGAATGTCGATTTGGCGAACTGTATGGAGGAAGATAAGAATGGTTTCACATGTGATATGGATAAGTATAGTCTTCAAAATTATGATTGTGAGGAAGATAAATGCACCATGCCTTCATCGATAACGGAAGCGGAACTCTTTATAAACGCAGCTCATGCCCCCAAGGACGGGTCTTGTCGATTTATCGAGTTGGCCTGTAACCCAGGTTTCAAATTGGTAGGTGATCATGTAGCGTACTGTGACCTTGAGGGAAACTGGTCTCAGATGCCGACATGTGAGCCGGTAGAGTGTGAGGGAGACGAGTCCACTATCGAGCACGGCAAACTTGTCAACCATCTGGTGGGTGAGAACATGTCCTTTTACAGGTGTGATGTTCACAATCCAAGCTACAATGGTGATAAGGACTACTTTACTGCAAAAACGTGCGGAGAAACCATTGTATGTGGTAAGCATGAAAATGACCATTGTCCTCCAATGATAGATCACGGTTACAAAGTCAGAGAATGGGAGGATATGTCTGCAGATATGAGCGAGCTCAGAGCATGGAATGCAGAGTACAGGTGCAACCCAGGATTTGAGATCGAAGACAACCCAGCACTGCAATCTATCGAAGAGGCTGGTCATGGCTGGTCTCACTGTGTGGAAGGTGAGGAACCTAATGTGCCAAGATGTGTCGAGCAACGTAGTGACGAGAATACGGATAATACGGATGATAACGATGGACAAGGACCTTGTAAAATGCCCGAAATCATTTACAATGGAAAACTCATCGAAGAATTTAGTGACGACGATGGAAAAGTGACCCACGGAAAGTACGAATGCGACGAAGGGTTCATGATGGTCGAGACTAATATGAAGGACCACGGATTCTGCAGAGAAATGGACTTCTCTTATGAGCTGCCATTTTGTGTGGAGCCCGCGGAATGGTCAGACTTACAGTTTGAGCTTGTTGGAGGCTTCAGAAAGATGCCAAATTCTGGCCGTGTAAAGTTTCGCTATGTTAGCGCTGATGGAACTGAGGGAGATTGGCATACTGGGTGTGATGACCACTTCAACAGTCCTGGTGCTGGAGCTGTGTGCAGAACACTTGGATTTAACTATGGCAAGATGATTGATCCACCCAGGAGAATGCGACCTATCCCAGATCTTACCTTTGGAATCACTAACTTTTGGTGCTATTATGACGACGTCCTTCCATCAAGGTCAGTTAGCTTTTTCAGTTTAGATTTACATTAGGTGCCAACTACAATTGGTCGTCCAACGTTAAACTGAATCGATGCTATCAGTGCCACAAGTAAAATTGTCGGAGTCAATGAAGCCCTACCGGCCTAAGACACCATTCTTTTTCTATTACGCACTGCTTTCATGTCATAATTGATCATTAATTTTTTCGGTTTTCAGTCCTAGTTGTCACACTGACGACTATGGCGAGCTGGGATATCCTATTTGTGTGCCTGACGAACAGTTAGCGGTATCCTGTTTTGATGTCTGGTGGGATGTTGAAGTTCACTTCCATATGAAGTCCAAGAGAAAAGACAAAATGTTCTGTCCTGTCATGGTATGTATTGAATTTTGAGTATTGTTTATTGACGACACCAAATAGGAAAATTTTTGAAACAATTACAAACTCTTTGTGCTTGTCATTATTCAGTCTGGATGAACATTTTTGCAACATCGTATTTCAGATCGAGAAGGAGGGAATCAAGATGAAGACGAAGAAGATGGGCCTGACTGTTGGATGGGGAGGACTGAAACAAAATGAAGGCGGCGAATACGTATGGACGCCGTTTGAGGAAGGAACCCATTACGAATCTCGTCGATTCAGCAGAAAGAAGGGTTTCAGGGCTACTTTCACCGGAAACATGGATGATTACGATTGCTTCGCCTGCAACGTTTACCTTGGAGACATCTGGCTGAACCCTGCGGCAATACAGGCGAATCATAACTGTGGAATGGACGATTAATAAGAATGAGTTTAATCGAATAATCCGCGGCTGTACCTAGCCACCTAAACAATTTGGATTGAGCCTTACTTACATCTGAAGTCAACCTAATGGTCTTAGAGAAACTTTAGCAATAAGGTTATTATAATTAAAGTGTTGTTGCATTCATAATATTGACCATCAGAGTTGAGTGTCGCCAAATTGTGTCCTACTCCTAGCCACTTTCATTAGTTTGTGCATGTTAGTAACTTTTGTGGTCGCATAAGACACGAGTCTGATAAGTTTTAAAGTTTTGATATAATTTTGCTGATTAATATTCATTTTAATTTTCATCACCAAAATTTAGTACTTTCAAAATTCAGTGTTTGAATTATATTTATATTTTTCATGAGTAACGATAATTAATTTTACCGGCGTCACTTTGAATCAAACGCCCTCCGATCCCCATCGTCTTCGAAAGTCATATTATCCCATCCTTGTTAATACAGTATAACCTAGACCAGCTAATATTTATATAAGACGCGTTTAGTTTTACCCGTTAAAATCATTCTCGTCTCAATCTGCTATTTACTTGACCATTGTTAATGATCAGGCCCGGCGCGCGCTACTTCATAGCACTTGCCATCGAGAAGAAAGCAGCACGCGCTACTTCGAAGAAATTTAGACGAGTAACATCCGTCAACTATTTACGACATAATTTATGTGTTACAGTCGGTTGTCACACTGCATCGGTTGTCACGGCTTACCTGAGGACCCCAGGCTATTATGTTCATTAACATAAAGAATAAAGATTTGGCGGAATGACAGGCTGAGCGCGGCCCAGTCTAGTAAGTCACGGCCGGCTGTATCGTGGCTTTCGCCACGAACCTAGTGACTAAAATGAAACGACAATCATGGTTGTAGTGCGATACGTTACTGCTCCGCGCGTCCAATATAATAATGCTTCTCGTAGTTGCAAGAAGCATTATTGGATGCGCATTGTAGCGTGATGCGTCACTGGGCCGCGCTGCGCATACAATATAATGCTTAGATGAGATCGGCGATATGTGCTACTGCCACTGGGCCTTGCTGAGCTGCGAAGAATTTAACGGGCTATACTCGGCGCGCGTCCTGGTAGGTTATAAACCTACAACAAAGAGTTGACATCGTACTCAATTAATCCTAATGCCTAACCCGGCCCCAAAGAGCCATCCTTAACACAACCCCAACCCGAGCCCTAAACAACCAATTTTGTGTTTTTAAGCCTGTCATGTGTCATGTGACCAAAGCATTGTCATACGTGACAATCGTAGAAACTCTATAGGGTTCCACTATTGACTATATATTTCCGTAGAGGACGGAGGTAGGTGTATGGGGTATCCATGAGATACCAAAGACCCTTCGTAGCATTCGTGTGTAAACATCTTCTAGTGCTTTAGTGTCAGTTTTTGTCAAAGTCCATGTTTCTGCGTCATATATAAAAGAACAGGCTCGACTGCAGTTCTGAAAATTTTAGCCTTGATCTTTCTAGACATGTCAGATTTCCAGAAAACATATTTAGACTTTGAAGTCCTTTCCATGCAAGGCCTTTCCTGACATTGATGTTTTTGCTGGTTGAAGCGATGTAGGATCTTAAATATTTAAAGTCGTGGACTTCTTCGAGAGGGTCGCTGTTAATGAAGACCCTATCATCCGAGTTTACAGGCCGTGGTAGGTTGTAGGACATGTATTTTGTCTTCTCGATGTTGATGAGTAAACCATACCGGGCTGCAATATCAAAGATACTTTGACAGAGGCGGCTGTTATCGCTGAAGCTGGGTGTGATTGTAGCTAAGTCATCGGCGAAGTCCAAATCTGCTATGTAATCACAACCAACTTTAAGGGGGCATACACCAAATCTGTCCAACCCAAATGACCTCATAGGCAGTTCAGTGACCATCTAGCACACCGTTTCTATATTAAAAAAAAAAAAAAACATTTTATAATTGTTTGTTACGTGTTGATAATCTAGCTCTCTTATCTCTATTTTATCGCTACATTATAACCGCCATTGTGCGGGTACTGTGTTTTTACTTTATACAAGTACAAGTACACGATGGATGATGATGAATGGGATACTCTTCGAAGATTGTCAGGTTACTCTACCTGCATTACCGAAGAGCATGAGCCATGAGGCCTATAACGCTTGGGTTACTGAACTCGCGGAAGCTATGAACTGTGACAATAAATCAGAGTTTTCAGTTGAAACGTTCAAAAAGCCAGTGAAGGCAGTTTTAGTCAAATGTTTGTATTATGCGTATCAGACTACCGATAATCATGTAAATATGTTTCTGGATATCAAGAAAGATGTGGAGGAGTTGAAGAGCGATCTTATCCGATCGCAAAGTACTGTTATCAAGCTGCAGGCTGAACTTCTGGAAATCAAATCGAACCAGTTGGAATCCGTGCACTCCACCGTCAAGACCACCATTCAAGACACTGTCCAAGCTGAGATAAAGTCATACAGTAAAGCTGTGTCTAAAACTGCACCTGTGCTTACAGAAGAGAGTTTGAAAAAGGTTGTACAGAATGCTGTATCGGAAGAGGATCGAAGTAGGAATGTGCTAATCTTTGGTTTGAAGGAGAGTGATGAAGAGAAACTGTGCGATAAAGTCGACGTGATTTTTCAGCAGATTGATGAAAAACCACGTTTTGCAGCTATCCGGGTTGGGAGGAAATCAGCCGACAAGACGAGACCAGTCAAAGTTTCGCTAGGTAATTCTAGTACCGTTCATCAGATATTAGTAAATGCCAAAAAATTAAGACTGTGTGAAGATCACAAAACTGTTTTCATATCTCCAGATCGATCACCTGAAGATCGAGCTATCCATCAGCGATTGGTCTTGGAAATGAAACAGATAGCCAAAGAAGACACAAAAAAACATTATTATATCAGAAGTGGTAATATTTGTAGTGAGGACAAGATGTTAGAGAGTGATACATAATAATGAGTGATATATGTCCATAAGTTTTTACCGTGTGTGATAAATTTTTTTTTTCAAAATGCCAAATAAGTACTTTTGGTTTTTATATTTGTTACTAGTATATTCAAATATTGAGTATCTAGTTTTGGATTATATCGCGAGGCCAGCCACTTTGACATCGGCAATCTTTATTTTTTATTTGGATTGTTGATATAAGCGGGATAAAAATGCTTTATTTCATTTCATTTCATTTTCATACCCATTTTAGTAATCGAGCATTTCCTGGTTAGAGTGGAATTTTCGGAAAAACACAATTTGTTTCGTGGAGAAGCTAAAAGTTAATCATTTCTTGCGGTATCGGGTTGAAATTTTGCTCGCCGTTTATTCACATCTATTTCAAGGCGTGTGTAAAACAAAGTAAAACAAATTTTATTTTATACCCACAATCAATTCATATTTAGTTCAAATATTTAATGTCGAAATAACCATTTCACATAAGTGGTTATATTATAATAAAATAATTTGTGATAAATTAATAAATTAATTTACAGGGTGAGACCATATTGGAACAAACTCCCCTCGGATGTCAAGAATTGTGGGACTGTGTTAAGTTTTAAAATGAGATTAGAGGCTTTCAAAAAAGAGACTATTTTAAACGGACCTGTAAATGACAGTCATTTTTGGTATGTTTCGGACGAAGTATTAGGAAAGATTGAGGGATTAAATTATGCTACTAATAAAGAGAAGCACAATGAATATCTTATGTGTAATCCTCATGTTGCTAAAAAACGCTTTATCAACTTATATAGTAGTGGAAAGTATGTAAATTAGATTCATTTTTAACTTGGTTGTTTAGGCCAATAGATTTAAGATAATTTTTTAACTTTAGTAGATATATTTTTGATATATATATATATATTTTTGATGTGTGATGATGTTTGTGTCATTATATTTTCAATGAGTTAGCCACATAAATGTTCAAATTATGTAGGAGGGTAAAGGACACAATTGCTAGTAGTGCTTAGTAGTGCTTAGTGGTGTGCTCAATGAAATATCTGATACTCTACCTGTGCTTTTTGGAGTGCCACAAGGGAGCTGTTTAGGGCCCCTTCTGTTCTTAATTTACATAAACGATCTTACAAACTCTGAAAAGAACTCTAAATTTGTTCTATTTGCTGATGACACAAATATCTTCGTCGCTGCAAAAAGTAAAAACCTAGCATACAAAAAAGCCAATGAAGTCCTAAGTTCCGTACACCGCTACATCCTTGCCAATAAACTTCACATAAACACTGGCAAGAGCTGTTACCTTGAATTCTCAAACTCCCGATCCAACAAAGATGAAGATACACCAGAGCTCGACCGGGATCCCGGCGCAGCCGGGTTCCCGGCCGGGATTTGGCGATTTTGTCCCGGTCCCGGTCCCGGCCGGGATTTTGTTTTTAGCCGGGATTTTTCCAAAATAAAGTCGGTTTTTGAGCGTATATTTGAGCCCAAATTTCACGAACCTGTGAACATTTTCCGAAAAGTTTTACTACAACAGTGCTCTACAGACTACAGTGCTTCTTAATAGTTAGATCATTTCACTTTCTCGTCGCCAAAAGTTTATTGAAAATTCAACTTTCAAGTCTTATGTGCAATGTTTATGTTACATGATCAAAATTCTATGAATTTTGATCAATGGTAGTTGACAAATTTCAAGTCAAACAAAATTTACTAATGTTCAAAATTAATTATATGTTCAACTGTTCACTTCATGAGTAACAAATTACAAAATGTTAGAAGAAAGCTGAAGTCCGAACCATGCATCTAATGATACACTGTAGTAGCATCGCTTGTCCTCGAACAGTTCAGATAACACCTCTTTAAGCTTGCACTGAACTTTGACGTACAGTTTAGGGATGAGCGAAGTTCTTATAACTTTTTCTGACGGTATGTTGAATCTTCGATAGAGAGAGATAGAGAAAGATAGAGAGAGATAGAGATTAGAGAGAGATAGAGTAGTTACTACTACTTACTGTCAATTTTAATTTGACATACCTCAGTTTGTTCTGGAAGATTTTATTTAACATATAACACTGTTTCATTTTAACTGAGATTGAGAAATATTGGAAAAATCCCGGTCCCGGTCCCGGTTCGGCCGGGATGAGGCTAATCCCGGTCCCGGCCGGGTTTTCATTTCGATCCCGGTCCCGGTCCCGGTCCCGGCCGGGATGAAGGTCATCCCGGCCCGGTCCCGGCCGGGACTAAATTTCGATCCCGGTCGACCACTGAGATACACCCTCTGATCAAGAAATCAATATCAATGGCATACCTTTGGAGAGAGTACATGAAACTAAATTCTTAGGTGTAACAATCGATGAAGACCTAAACTGGAACGCACATAGAAGGAAATTAGCAAAAAAACTAGCCAGC